ATGGGTATTTTGGGTAAAGGCGCTCGATTCATCTAGAGAGTACTGAATCGCCGAAATTCGTTCGAGTTCTTCAGATTTGGTTATCCCTTCCCAAACCCTCCTCCCTTTCAAAACTCTACTAGCTAGGCCCTCAATTGAATGAAAGTGGAGGAGACGACGATGGTGGTGATTGGTTTCAGAATCGATCACGGTGGTGGTGGTGGTGGTGATGGGTTGGGAGGAACGAAAGACAGGGGTCCGGGGGACGGAAGAGAGAAGGGCACGAAATAGGATGAAGTTGTCACCAGAGCTCCTGCTCGTGCTCCAGCTCCATCGCCGCCCACTCTTTGTAGGCCTCCACCTCGAACAACTTCAATCGGAGTCGATTCTTAACGAATCGAAGATGCGACACCACCAGCAACAACCCATATCGGGAATCCAGATGCGACACTACCAGCAGCAACAACACTACAACAAATTCGGCCTATTATGACAAGTCAATTTTGTCATATTAGACCAATTTTTGTTATATTAGGTATAATATGACAAGAGTTGTTGTCACAAAGGTTTCTCATTTTATCACCGCCAAGATAGGTCAAATGTGACAAAAATTTAAAACAAGGTTGTCACATTTGCTTTTAGTATAGCTGAGGTTCTGGGTAGTCTATTGTGACAAAAACAGATGTTATGACGATATATTTTGTCATTATGGTTGTCATAATCTAGTGATTTTTGGGAGAATTTTCGTCATATTACACTATTATATTTTGTCATAACTGTATATTGTGACGACTACATTTTGTCACAAGTGTTTATTGTGACAACATTATTTTGTCATAACTGAATATTATGATGAATATACTTTGTCATAACTGCCTATTATGACGAGTATAGGTTGTTAGGAAAGGTGGTTTAATTGTCTCATGTCTAATATGACAAGAGAACAATTTGTCAGGCAATGTACATAATGTGACGACATGATATTGTTGTCACATTTGACCTGCTTGAAAATTTTCATAATTCAAAATTGTTTGCTGCATTGCAACCTGATAATGGAAAGATTATCAAAGATCCAAAACATTACAACCATTTCCATGGCAGTCTAACTCCTTGTTCAGCATAACCAAACATTCTAAGTTGTCCACCATGACACAAAACATTCTAACTCCTTTGCGGATCTTGGGTTCTCCTTTGATCCATACTTCACCTTTTTCTTCAGGACCTTCTAAACAATCTCATGACTGGCTCCTCAATTCAATGATGATACGGTGATGAGCTCGATCCTCTTGGACTTCTCATGAGAACAATGAAGCTCTGGTCGAACGGACAAGATTTGTGAACGATTTGCTCTAAGCATTTTCTTGGATTACATTTTGAAGCTCCTAGTTTTCACACTTTGGTAAACGGTATCCTGTGCCAGGAAAATTCAGGTCAAAATGTAAATCATATTCTCAGTTTCAGGTTCTGAAAGTTCTTTCCTATGTCAAAAAAATTCATAATGTGTCTAGTAAAACCAGACAATACAGTTGAATATATATAGCAAACATGACTGTTCAATTAAAATATAGCTTAAACAGGTAGTATGATAAGATCATGAGTGTGAACACACCTTTATAGAATTTTCCATGGAACCAGAGAAGAGTCTGTTAGCTCCAACAAGCAACAACTAATGAGACAACAACTAAAGAATGACCCTTAGGTGATGCATCTGGCTCAAAGACGCTTGTGGCTGCATTATATCTTCATGCCAAGATTGCTAAATCCTGCTCTAATATAAACATTAAAACAGTTATGAGTTGTTCATCTTATACAACTGCAAAAGAATGACTGTAGGCAACAGTAGGATGAATAGTATCATCCAGAAGTCTAATGCAACAAAAATATCAGTAATATGTCCAAACTTTAGTTTATGAAGTTAAGCCACAGATAAGGATAGAAAGATCTATAATCCGTTGGTAGTAGAGACGATGTTAGTTGGCGAGCTAGCCCCTCAAGGGCTTGAAACTTGAATATAAAGCATATAGAGAGAGAGAAGCTTTGAACCGATATAACCTCATGTACAGTTTCCGCCTTCATCATCATCAGTACCACCACCTAGGGATGGCAACAAAACCCGAACCCATGGGTACCCACCCGACCCAACCCGGTCAACGCGGGTAAAATCCGTGTTGACGGATTTTGGGCCGGGTTTGGGTTTAAACCTGTTCACTATTCATCGGGTTGGGTTTGGGTTTAGGTAAACCCGACCCATGGGTACCCGCCCACACTCATATAATTAATTTTCTCGGCATATATAATATTCTAAACAACTAATCTTATTTATGTTTGTGGAAACATGTCTGATTTTTTCTTTTTAGTTATGTAGAATGAAATTGATGTTATCGAGTGGAGAATGAAAAACTTAATTGAAAGGAAGAAGCTTTCAATTAATCATGTTATTTATGGATAATTTGTGATTTGCTTCAATTTTCTTGAGTTTTCTAGATTGGTGTTGAACAATTTGTATAGTTAATTTGTGATTTGCTTGAATTTTCTAGAATGGTGTTTTATATATGGATAATTTGTATTGAGAGATTGATATTTGACTTTAATTTTGATAGGAATTTGTTATTGTGAATTTTTTACGACAAAAACCCGTGGGTACCCATGAACCCGCGGATACCCAGCAGGTTGGGTTGGTTTGAGTTTTTCAAACCCAGTGGGTTTTACCCCGGGTTTTTTTCACGGATAAACCCATGGGTTTGGATTTGGGTTTGGATTTGGCAAAACCCGACCCAACCCGGCCCATTGCCATCCCTACCACCACCGTCCAATCAACCCACGCCCCTTCCTCTGGGAATGGATCAGGTCAGTAAACTTATGGTGAGTAACCATGAGTAACCCGTCCACATCAGCATGACATCAGCATCCTCTCTCTCATGGAAAGCCTTTAATTTTTCCCTTTTTAATCTTTGACGGACGATTTCTCGCTCATTTTAAGTCGAAATTTAATTTTTTTTGCACAGTTAGATTAGATTAATTGTGCTCTTCAAAATGATATCCACTTTAATATATTTTTCGAACAAAAAAAATTGAGCCATTTTTTACCCGCCTATACCATATGGTATTGACTGGTATTGAAATAAAAGCATACCTATGTTTTGAAAAACGTACCATGGTGGTATGAACAAACCAATACTGTAGGATGGTTGAATACATGATAGTAGAAGTATATTAATTGTAATTTACGACTTTTAACATTGTATACCACACAATACCACCCCGTACCAGGGTGGTATTGTATGGTATTGTGTGGTATTTTTTGGTCCTGTAATTTATTCACCCAGAAATTTGTAGATCCAATAGATCATGATGAACTCGTCCCTTCTGTGCAAACGTTTTCAAAAACGAATTAAAAACGAAGAAGATACCATACAATACCACCCCGTACCATGGTGGTATTGTATGATATTGTGTGGTATTTTTTGGTCCTGTAATTTGTTCACCCAGAAATTTGTAGATCCAGTAGATCATGATGAACTCATCCCTGCTGTGCAAACGTTTTCAAAAACGAATTAAAAACGAAGAAGATACCATATGGTATGCAGTTGGTACCGAGAGGCCAGAATTTTTTTTTCCTAAAAAAATATTGAAAATTGATCTCATTTTGTAGAGCATCTGTGCAAAAAAAATTAAAATCCGAGTTAAAACGAAAAATGATATGAGTCAATTAAGAAAGCTAGTGAAAATAAAAATAGTCTTTAATTCTCCATCCTTAGATCTGGATTTTCTAAATGAAGGGTCCAGATATCTTGAGCCCCTTCCTCCTATCTCACCGTCAGCTCCAAAACAACATCATCACTGTAACATTTTGAACCGCCACCACCGCTCTCTCTCTCCCAAGCAACCAGACAGCTGAAAGAAAGAAGAGGAGAAACAAAAGCTTCCTCTCCTTTTTTCTACTTCTTCTTCCTCTCTTCTTTGCTTCCATCTCACTGTGCTGTCGCTAGTCGCTACCGCAAAAGGAAAAGAAAAGCAAAAACCATTCTTGTCCCATGATGACACAAATATTAAAGCACAGATCATATCATTTATATTGGAACAGGTAAGGTAACCATATGTTAATATGTAATCAACATGCAGCAGTGGCGGACCCAGAAATTTTTCATAGGGGTGTCCTCTTTTAAAAAATAAATTAAATAAAATTAAAAATAATTAATAAAAATAAAATCGTAAGTATGAAAATACCTTACTCGTACAGGTTAAAAAAGTCCATGATGTGTTTTCATATTCGAAAATAATTGTAGAATACACTTGGTGTTTATAGTGAAAAAAAATTCTCCATATACCATACTAGACAATCATTCAGGAACTTATCGCATATTCGATTTGTAAACTTGTTCTTGATTTAACCCAAAGCCGAAAGACTATTCAACACTTGCCGTACAATCATAAAATCAATACAAATTAAGGGTAGATTGAAATTAGTTTAGATTGAAATAATTAGAGATAGGTAATGACTTTTTATTATTACACATTGTTCAAAATCGAACAACAAATGAGTTGTAGCTCAACGGAAATTAAGTTTATTAATAATAATAGTGTTCTAGATTTGAATTACACAACCCACTATTTATATTTTTATACACAAATGACAGTATGATAATCATTTTTTTCAAATTTCAAGGGTGTCCCTCACTATCAATTATATTTTTTTGTCTATACATAAATTACCACCGGAGGTTGGATAATCATTTTCCCGAAATTTAGGGGTGTCCGGGGACACCCCTAAAACCCCCTGGGTCCGCCCCTGACATGCAGTATCCACATAAAGAAAAGAAGTATATGTACACGCTAAGCAAATGAATGACGTTTTGAACCTGTCACAGTCAGCATCAATAGAGAGCTTGAAAGGAACGTTGACTCCGCACCTCCCAGGAATTTGTTGCAACCAGCTGTCGACCTGTCCTTTCTTTAACATGTGGGAGACCTGCTTCACACAATTGTAGATGCCCTTCTTGTCCTCAGCGGTCTTCGCTTCGTCAGAGATGTTGCGTATCCCGTCGCAGCAGGCTGGAGGGACGGTGTTCTGGTCGCCTTTGCCTTTGGCGTAGCTCAAGCACTGCTTGGCTTTGCTCCTCACGTCGTTGCATCCGACGACAGCCACGTCGGATCTGGTAGCAAAGTGGCTGATCAGGAGAAAGAGAGAGGAAACGACCATGATGTTGACCATCACGAGAATTTGTAGAGACTCTGATCCATCTCAAGTTCTGCGCTTTTTCTTGCAGCCGTAGTAATTGACCTCGCCGCAGCTTACCCTACGCTTCCTTTCTTTAATGCAATGCTTCCCCTCTCTCTCTTCCTCTATATTGTATATCAGAAGGAAGGTGCAGCTAGTTTTGGTAATGATTGGTGTGGTTTTTTTAGGTCAGATCTCTGATCAATTAGGAACAAGACAAGAACAAAAAAAATTCAACTTTAAAATTACCTCTGTTGGAGCTGGGACTCATCAACGGAAGTAGCAGGGTAGTGGGAGGAGGTGGCGCCGGCCGGAGCATAAGTAAGAGCTAGGAGGATGAACGCCGGCCAGAGCAGGGGCAGGAGAACGAAGAGTCAAGAGAGGCAACAGGGTTGGAGAACCTTCTTCGACGGCCAAAGCAGGGGAAGGACCACTGCTAGTCTTCTTCGACGACCAAAGCCTGGTTCGTCGCTGGGTTCACCGGCAGGAGGTCGCCAAATCGCTGGTTCTAAATCGTTGAACGACAGCGAGCGGCAACGGGGAGCGACAAAGGGGCAATGGGTTTTGGGGCGGAGCTTTCAGTGCTCGTCTCGGGATGGGTTAGGGTGATTACTTGTTTTTTTGTAATCACGGTGGTAACCTCTTTATATACCATTTGATTAATTATTTTTCCTTCGTTTTTAATCTTACGGTCAAGATTCTTTTAGGGTAATTTTGGAAATTAAAAAGTCACCACACCGGATTATTCTATATAATCTACCTAAACCCTAATTCTATCCTCCCTCCAACCAAATCCGTTCGCAGCCGCCTCCACGTACCACTCCCGTCGCACCGCCGGCAGCAGCCCCGACCACCCTCGGCTACCACCGGCAGCAGCCTCCGACCACCCTCGGTAGCCCCTCCCCGGCAACGGCAAACCCATTGCCCTCTCCTCCTCCCCTGCGCAAAACATCCGCCCACCCCATCCCTCGTGAAGCCGCCCACCATCACTCCTCCCCCCCCCCCTATCCCAAGAGAAACTCTTCTATCTTAGGAGTTTGTGCATCATCGGCCGAACATTGTTTTGGGTGCAGTTGCGGAGAGAAAGTGGAGAAGAAGAAGATCTTGGGAGGAATAGAGGCGGCGGCGGGGAGATGGTAGTTTCCTCCATAATAGTATTGTTTTTATTTATTTATTCGGTATTGGTTCAATTTCATTATGGTATCAGTTTGGTATTGATTTTTCATTATGGTATTGGTATAGTCCCTTCCACTCTCCTGATCTATTATGTCACAAACACATCTCCCGTATCATACTGGTATTGATTTTTCCGCATTGGTATTGATTTTATCGCATTGGTATTGATTTTATCGCATTGGTGTTGATTAAATCTGCAATGAATATTGGTGTTTTGTGAAATGGTAGTGTTGTTATTTCTCGAATGGTATATGTGTTTTGTGCAATGGTAGTGTTTTTTAATGGATTGGTATTGATTGTTTATGGTATAGATTGTTTATATTGATAGTTTTCGTGTAATGGTATAGATTCCTTTCTACAATGGTATTGATTGTTTATATTGGTAGTTTTCGTGTAATGGTATAGATCTATTTCTGCAATGGTAGTTTTCTTGTAATTGTATAGATTTATTTCTGCAATGGTATTGATGTTTTTCAAAGTGGTAGTGTTTGTCTAATAGATTGGTACTGATTTCGTGATTTTTTTTTTGCAGAAAGATTGAGAAAATATATGGAAATGAAATCTGGCTGGAGATTACGAAAGTGAGAGAGAAAGAATTTTAATTAATAGATTTTTGTAACTACCTAAAATGTAATTTATTAAAAAATTAATTAACATAATTTATTTTTCCATACCCAATTTATCCTTAGTAACCACGGTGATTACTACTTTTGTAGTAATCACCGTAACCTGTCTCTGCTCGTCTCTGGTCCTCACGAAATGGAATTAGGGTTCAATGAGGCCGACGTTTTCTCCTTTTGTATTTTTTAAGTTTCAGTTTATAATAACACTGATAAAGAGAAGAAGTGGAAAAAGGATCAATAAATTAAATGGGTATTAGGGGCAGGTGGGTGGGTGATTTTAATTTTTCAATTATAGGGAAAATGTGGGCATGCTTGGAGAAATTTTTTGGGCGGGACATGGCTGTAATTTAGGCAGGGTATGGTCGAATTTTGGGTGGGGAATGGGATTTGTGTGAGTTCAACAAGCAAATATGACGAAAATGTCTTTTGTCAAAAACAAAATCACTATATTATGACGAACATGCCTTTTGTCAAAGCCAAAACAACTATATTATGACGAACATGCCCTTTTGCAAGCTCGCCGTTGGATGATTGCTATCTATTGTGACAAAATACTTTGTCATTTAAACAATTCAGGAATGCATAATTTGACAAACTTAATTGCGACACAAATATCTGTTACATTACTCACTTTAAATGACGAAATATTCTGACAACAAGAACTTTGTCACTGTTGAGTCTCTTACATCCCGATATGGGACGCCTATTTTGACAAAATTAATTGTGACACAAAATATTTGTCACATTACTCACTTTCAATGACAACTTATTTTGACAACAGTTATTTTGTCACATTAGGCATACCAAATAGGACATATATTATTTTTTTCATATCATCGTACCTATTGTGACAAATAGAAAATGACAAAATAAAATATTTGTCCTAATAGGCCGAATTTGTTGTAGTGAACTCACCTTCTCGTCGATTTCACCCCGCTTCAACCTCTTCCGGCAGCGGAGGCTTCCCAATGGAGGTGAGATTCGATTTGTCGTCGATAGAATTGATTCTTTGAGCTTCAATTTGTGCAGTGGTTGCAACTCACACGGTGGCCGGGTGAAGCGGAGAGAGAACCTTGGTCTAGGGTTATGTACTTTGTCCCTCCAGCCAGCGCTAGTCCCGCACACTCACTATGACGGTCGGCGAGAGTTTTCTACATTGGTCTCTTCGACTTTCTCCTAGGTTTTGACGGTGGGTTTCTAGGCTGCGCAGAAGCCCAGCCATAGGAGATGACGAAGAAGGAGATGGAGAGAGATGAGAGGGGCCAAAGACGACTAACAAATTTTTTCATTTCCTTTTTATATTTAAATTTTAGTTTATTTCTCATATAATTAAAATAAAAATTCAACCTTCCACCTAGCAGTTGGTTTGACGAAAAGTCTCCACGTTACCAAAAACGTTTGTCTAGTCAACATTTGTGAATGTACTGTTAAAGTTATGGACGGAATGGATACAACTGTGTATTTTTAAAAAACTGGCTATTATTGTCAAAAACACGAAAGTTATGGCTATACAAGTGAATTAAACCTATATAATTTAATAATTATTCAAGTGGATTAGGTGAAGTTTGGGTTGATTTGGTCGGGTTACGGGTTAGTCGGGTTTGCGTCAATCGAGTTGCAGGTTTAATCAGGTTGCGGGTCAATTGGGTTCGGGTTAATCGGGTAGCGGGTTATTCGGGTTGAGGGTTAGTCAGGTTGCGAGTCAATCAGGTTGCGGCACGGGCGAGTTACGGGTTGTTACTTTTAGTTAATTCGGGTTGCTGGTTGGGTTGATCGAGCAGGTTAGTTGGGTCGGGTTCTGTTTTGACACTTACAAATACACTGCGGAAAGTTCTTAACTAGTCTGGAATCTCGACTAAGTAATTCAGACACTCTCAGTTCGAATACCTGACGAGCGACTAACCTCCACCGGTATAAACCAACCAAGACAAAAACACACAAAACTTCCTTTACTAGACCAATTCCAGTACAGAGTAGTGAATCGACTTCTCGACTAAAGCAATCGATTCATCACTTCCAATTTAAGGTTGCTCTTTTAACCTATGCAGAGAGTATCGTTCTAGGTTCAATCAGGAATCACAAAAGTTTGATCAAGACTCATGCAATTCTGATTAATACCTCAATTGAATATATCAAATCAATCATTCGCAAACGGGGTTCATACAACCATTCCTAGCATACAAAACTAGGTTTTACATACCCAGATGAAAGAGGAGTTTACTCCATGGAGAGAAGAGGAAACATCAAGCTACAAGGAGAAATCATCATGTGGACAATGAAAATCTGCTCCAAGCGGCTAATCAGTACTCTGAGAGTGAGGAATCGAGCTCCGAGGTCTTCAGATCGCTCCAATTCTTGCCCAATGGTTGTTCTTTGTCACTTTCTCTCTCTAGGATTCTCTTTCTGCCTTTAGAACTCCAAATATCTGGATCCTTTGCAATTTGCCCAAGCTCCCCTTTTATTTGCTGAAGATTTGTGAGTTACGGTCGTAACTCCTTCTCCTAGCCCGTAACTTCTCATCTTCTCCCGAAACGTCATCGTCGCTGGGCTCCGTAAACCAAGAGTTACAGCCGAGACCATAACTTTGAGGAGGGGGGTGTAACTTCAAGAATCCTCCTGGAATCTCAGCCCCGCTTCTCCAGAAGTTACGGGCTCTTTAGGGAAGTTACAGTCCAGACCGTAACTTTCAGGGTATGGCCGTAACTTTTTCCGACTCGCTGCCCATTCGCTCCAAATCATCCCAAAACTTGCTCCTTCACACCTATTCACATACTAGGACCTGAAACATCATAAATCAACACAATCTAGCGTAAAATAGGCTACGAGAGCGAGAAAGCGAGCTCAAGCGATCAAGAAATGAAAGAAAAAACATGTTCAAATACAACGTTATCTATTCTATTGATATTTTAGCTTTGATTGTGTTTGGGTAAGTCGCCCTAATGTTCTCTACTAGCCTACTTTATGATTCTAGGTTGGGTAAGGAGTTTTAGGGTTAGACATGTATGCGCCATCAAGCAAATCGTGGTTAGATGTATGAATAGGGACCTATGTTGGTCGAGGCGACCAAACCCGTGCTATAGGTAAGCCTTCCTAGATAGAACCCGGGGTAAAACCT